GAGGCACGCAAGAGGAAACTATACAAACTCAAGTCTAAAACTGCAGTTCAGAACTAAGAGCAGTTTACACACAGCAACACTCATATGCAACCAAATTCCTTGTCAGCAGATTCAATTTCTGGTCAGGGAAAGCTTCAAGAAAACGCATAACGCTCCTGTGAAGAAAATCTCACCACCGCCAAATATTAATTTGTAAATATGGGTTTAGAAAGGGGTTCTAAAATTAATGTGTATTTACTTGTATAATTATGTGTTGTCTATAGTCTTATACCTTCTTACTGATGTCATTAAACTAATGGAAAACAGAGCTATAGAAAACTGCATGAGCTTGCCAGTGTTGATGAATGTCAAGCTCAAGTTACATATTTGCTTATTCCTTCCACATCTGCGCAATGTGGCATCTAATGCATTACCCCTTCAGACTTTTAAATGTGTTATTCCAAATACATTCACTGCAATTTAGCTTAAAAGCAGCTTTGATTATTCCTCTAAAAGGTAAAGTGGTAACCCATACCTTAACTTCTTTGCTATTCGATACGTTAAACAGCCGTCATACCTTAAACCTACTTTAATAAAGCACAGTTATTAAAGCACTGCAGAATTGCCCTGAAGCACACAAGCACCATTAAATTTGCTTACATCTAATTATGCCTGCCCTGGGCAGGTGAGAAATTCAGTCCGATAAGATCTTTCTTTCTACCTGTAGCCAAAAAAGAAAAAGAAAAAGGCTGCCGTTTTCTATGTAATTACTATCTACAACTATTTATGGCATTTCTTCTTTATATGACACAAAGGGCTCTTTGTGTATGAGCAAGCCCATTCTAACTTGTTCTAAGCTGCTGTGATACAAAGGCAAGTTTATCTTGCTTAAGGGATGACACAGGTCACAGGCAATGTCACCCCTAGAGTCATTTCCTATATCACTCAAGATTTACCCATCTCTAGGAATTTGGAGGGCATTTTAAAATGAGTTTTGAGATGTATAGATATAGATATCTAAAAAAATAACTTTCTGCTAAGCAATATAGGCTGAACTCTATAAAACATTTAAAAATGATCGCAATGTCAGCTGACCATTATGAATTACGTTATGGGGATAAGTACTTGATTCAGTTCATGCATTCTTATCTGTCAGAATAGTAATAAATCGCTAATCATCAAATAGGGGAAATTGTCATACAGTCACACAATACAATAAAATAGGAAAATATGAAGGCTTGACACATAATAGGACATACCATACTTGATTATAATGCACACCTTTTTTGGCTAAATTGCTTAGCCAAAATTAGGATGTGTATTACATTCAATGGCACCTTAGAACTGTGCCTAAATTTCCGCCCCTCCCTTCCAGTAGACCTCTAAATCCAGGCGCTCCTTTTCTCACTCTTGCCAAATGCCCAGACTGCGTTCGCCACCACCACATCAAGCTCAAGTTCCTCTTCTTTGTTAGGACATGCAGAGCCACGCATACCCCAGGTTTCTTTGTTGGCCACTCGCTGCGCTCGCCACAGGTCCCAGGAGCCAAGGAGAGCACTCGTCCACCGGCACGGCCTCCAAGGGAGAGGGAAGGAGCCAAAGTGTGAATGCAGCCTGCTTTGTCTCATTGGATGGAGCCACGTCCGGGAGGGCAGCGGTGTTGAGAAGCTGCGTTCCACATCGTTCTGCTTACCCTGACCCTTCTATTTGGCGTGGTCCTTTGGATGCCTGCGCATGAAGGGTGAAGGGGCAGGGCTTCCAGCTGGCCCCAGGATTCAAGGAGGAAGAGGCAAAGGTGGCTGTGCCAGTGGAAGAGGGGCCTCCTTGGCTTCTGGGCCCTGTGTCAAGAGGCCAGCAAACGCCTGTGGTGAATAGCCAGCATCTTCCTCCTCAGCTTGCCAAAGCCATTGTCTCACCAGAGCCGGCTACCTCGCCCCAAAGCAGAGGAGGAGAATGCAGCTTCCTTCATCCTCAGTGGAGCCAGCCTTACCTCCACAGAGCTCCTTTCCATCTTTCTCTCTCCTTCCACCCTTCCTTCTCTCTGCCTGTTATTTCTCCCCCTTACTTTTTGCACCGTCTTTCTATTCTCTTTCTCTCTCTCTGCCTTTTCTTTCATGGCTTCTTTCTTCCCTTTCAACTTATAACTTCTTTCTATTCTCTTTCCCCCTGTCTGCCTTTCTTTCTCCCCTCCCTTCTTGTACCTTCTTTCTACTCCCTTTCCCTCTCTCTGCCTTTTCTTTCAAGGCTTCTTTAAATTGTCTTTCCCTCTCTAGGCCTTTTCTTTTAAGGTTTCTCTCTCACCTTCCTTCTTCTACTTCCTTTCCATTCTCTTTTGCTGCTAATTACATTTGCCAGCAAAACCTTTTTTGGTTTCAGGTTCTTGAAAACTGAAGTGCACATTAGATTGGATGGCACGCTATATTCAAGAAAATACAGTATTTTTTTAAATTTTAAAATATCCAAAAAGGTTTTGAGGAGCAGACCAATGAAGGCTCTTTTCCTATGCACCAAATAATATGTGGATGGTATTCTAAGATGCAGACCCTAAAATACAGAAACACTGTTATAGGAAGTAGTGCTACAATGAGTGTTCTGGTCTCAAGCTGTTCAAGGTCTTCTGCCACTTTAAATTAGGCCCTGAACAAATATGCAACCAGTGGCTTTCAGCATCCCAGCAGTCATATTCTGCACCAGTTCAATGTTCCAGTTTGGCTTGAAGGGCAATTCTATGCAGACCACATTACAGCATTGATTCTTACTTTTTAGTCCTCCACATGTTTTGGACTTCAGCTCCCAGAATTCTTGGCTATTGGCCATGCTGGCCAGGACTTCTAGGAGCTGGAGTCTAAAACTCTCAGAGGACTAAAGAACCATTGAGAACCATTAGGAGCTTCCAAGATCATGGTCACTGTATCACTATCCTGCCACAAATACAAACAGAGCTCGCAGAAGGTACTCCAAGCCAATAAGGCCACCTGGCCTCAAGGTACAAAGTTATATCCAGGAATACCAACAAGTGATGTACCTGCTGTTTGGAGGAGAGTTAAAACTCATCTAAAAGAGGCTGCACACTCAGTTCTTCGACCTGGCAACTACCTAAAAACACTGTTCTCCTCTTGTTTACTGGCCTTCGTACAATTCATCATCCACTCAGTATGATTTTTAGGCAGAAATTTTTTTGCAACAATTTGACTCCAGGATATTGCACTATACAATTGAGTTTTTGTAACCTAAGTTGCAACTACTCTCTTTCCCCTCATTAAAGATACCAGATTTATTATTTAAAGGAAGATACAAGACATCCTGCAAGAACAGATACTTTTAAAAACAGTTTCAAATTCAGCCAACAGTATTCTGTAACTTGTGACCAGACAATGATTCTTTTCTTTTTTGCAATCATATATTTTCTTTTGTTTAATAGCACAGTAGAAACCCAGGATGGCCTGATTTTACTATTCACACCAGAAGCACTATGAGAGCAAAACATCACAGTTGAATTATAATTAATATTTTATTATTTCTTCTAATAGATACATAGGTTCCAGCATAATGTATTTTTGATCATTATATATTATATATACACAGACACAATGCTGATGTTTTTCTGTTAGTTTTTACCAATGCTGTCCTCAAGGCATAGAATCTTTGCTTTTAAAAACAAGAAAACGAAGGCATTAAATGCTTAACAGAAATGGTTCCTCTCATGGATGACAATGAGACTTGATTCATGTCAAGATTATATAGCACAATTTATCAAAACTATATTTTTATCCACCCATGTAGAACAGATTCTTTCCTATTATGCTGGTCATTCTTTGGTCTAATGGGCCACAAACCTTGACTGACCCCAAAAGAAAAAGGTCTTTTTATCAAATGTTACACCTAAGCCTTCATCTAATACTTTTACATGAAATACTGTTCAAAGGCTGTAATTCTGAAATGATGCATTGTCCTACTAACATGTTTCTCATCAATTTGTGTGGTTAAAGAACACACACACCATTTCATAAACCTGACTTCAATATCATGCTTGGACAGATCTTTCTGACCAGTCAAACCATCTTTCCTGATAGGTCAGTTCAAAGTTAAAACCACAATTTGACCAATGAAAGTCAAACGATGCATAGGGATTGACTATAAGACAAAAATACATGCTTGAGACACAACGTGCAACCTATCTAACAAGCACGTTTGGAATGATTTTATTTATTTATTTTAGGCTAGCATTCTGATTTTCTACCATCAGATCATTACACACATTGTAAACTTACTATGCAGTACTGTGCAGGAATTGAACTGTGCACTCTGTGTTCACTCTCTTTTAAAAGGTGAAGTAACAGATACAAGTGACACTTGTATGTATGAAGTATAAAACCAGGACAGACCTTCAAAGAAATTTTAGGATAAAAGTTATCTTCCATCTTAACTTAAGAACAGTATCTCATAAAGTAAAACGAGGAAGACCCACCTATGCAATTTGACAGTCAAAGAGGAATGGGAGAAGGAAGGATAGAAAATATGAGAAGATCATATGCTGAGAGAGAGCCTGTCAATTAGTTGCAAGGCTGTTTTGGTTCTCGCAAAGTTATACATAGATTGCTGTTCGCAAGTTCTTACTTAAAACTCTTTCATCAAAGCTGATTATACTTTATTGCAATAATGGTCCAATGTCTAGTAACCCATTTGTATCTCTCATATATGAGTGAATTGTAAACTGCTGAATTATGCATGAACATTCATTGAAAAAACACACTCACTGAGCAAATTTAATGATGACCATGAAAGTAGCTCCTCACTTCTTCCTCAGTGTAGGGTGGAAAATATTTCTCATTGACATATTCCATTAATTGTTTAGACACACATTCATGTAAATATAATTCTTTATACTTATATACCATATTTCTTTTTCCCCGCAAGGATTTTTCTTTGTTTTATCACATCTTAACTCCTTGTAGGTATTCTTTTCTCCTTATTAACCAAACAAGATCCACGTCTGTTACTAATGTAGTCTAGATTCTTACCAAAAGCTGCTACTTTTATGATTATAGCTTCAATGTATGATGATATCATTTCTCTGAGCAAAGTTTCTTGATCCTGGTGCCAAAGGTAAGCTAAAGGCTGCAATGAAAGCCTCTTGCACCTATTTGAAGAAAGAAAAAATGGCAACGTTATTATATTCTTGCATCAAAACATAGGCAATTTTCTGGATCAATTTATTTTGTTTTTATGACTGCTTTCTTTTGACGCATCCAGATATTTATACATCACTAGGACTAAGTAGAATACATTTACTCAGACTTACAAAGTGAATCATAAATATTTAGGGACCACTATGTATGTGCACGTGGGTGTCTGTGTATGTATATATGTGTGTGTGTGTGTGTGTGTGTGTGTGTGTGTATAATTATTATTTAAAAACTGTAGTTTTCTGAATAGATATGGCATGCTCTATTTATCTTGAAGGAATTTACACTCATTAGTTCTTTTTTTTTTAAAAAAAAAAAGGGCAGAAGGGGGAGACAGTGGAGGTGGATACTCCGGCCCCTTTCCATTAGCACCATCAACTATCTAAGAAAGTACAAGAGAAGGGGCTCTTTGAATAAAGGCAGATTCCAAGTGGGAGTGGGCACACAGTGTACTTCTAGAGCCAGCGAATGTGTTAAATATGGTAGTGGGGGTGGGGGTGGGTTCCACTTTATTTAATTAGTTATTTTATTTCTATCCTGCTCAATCTCACCCCAAAGGGGATTCAGTACAACTTGCAATTTGGCAGAATTCAGTGCCACAATATATACAAAAAATCAATACATAACATAATTAACTAAACATCAATAAACATATAAATATGAAGTAAAACCATGAAAACATATTAAACATATTAAAATATCATACAACATATTGAACATTGCACCAATCCCATAGTCATTGTTTGGCTGGTTCATTTGTATCTGTATCATGGAGGGTGATCAGATTTTACTGGGGAGGGAGTTCCACAGCTGAGGGGCCACCACCTGTTCCTTGTCCCCACCAATTGCACCTGTGAAGGTGATGGGATTGAGAGCAGGACCTCCCCAGCAGATCTTAATGCTCAAACTGGTTCATAAAGGGAGATATGTTTGGACAGGTAAGCTGGGCTGGAACTGTTTAGGGTTTTATAGGCTAAAGCCAGCACTTTCAATTGTGCTTGGTAGCAGACTGGCAGCCAATGGAGGTGGTGTAATTGGGGGGTTGTATGCTCGCTGCACGCCACTCCGGTAAGTATCCTGACTCTGCCCATTGAGCTATTTGAAGCTTCCAAACAGTCTTCAAAGGCAACTCCACGTAGAATGCGTAGCAGTAGTGTATTTGAGATGTGACAAGAGTATGGACTGCTGTGGCCAAGTCTGGCTTCTCAAGATACAGGCGCAGATGGCACACAAGTTTTAATTGTGCGAAAGTTCCCCTGCCACCACCGAGACCTGGGGTTCCAGTCTCAGCGAGGAATCCAAGAGAACTCCTAAGCTGCGAACCTGTGACTTCAGAGGAAGTGTAACCCCATCTAGCACAGGCTGTAACCCTATACCCTGTTTGGCCTTTTGACTGGCCAAGAGTACCTCTGTCTTGTCTGGATTCAATTTCAATTTGTTTGCCCTAATCTTTCATGGGAGCCTTAGTCCTCTGACCCCTACACAATTAGAAAGCCTAATATAACAACAATGTACCTGAAAATGCTAATGTAAAAAATAAAAGCAGTTTTATGAAACTTCTGTTCTATTCAATAAAAAGCTTTGAAGTAAATATCTATAGTTTGGCATTATATGTTCTCAAAATATCACCAGACACTAAATACTACTTGGGATTATGGTAGTGTTTGTTGAGGTTTAACTTGGACATTTATTTAAGCAGTGTATTCCAAAGCACAACAGGAAAAGATGGGCTTATGTTCATGAAAACTGGAGTGTTAGAGACAAGGATTTATATAAAAGGGAACATGTACATTCTTATCTTTCTTTTGTTTGGTAGGAAACATTCTTTCAAGAGTTCAGCTTTTTATTTCATCCATTGTAAATCTACGACAACACCCCTGGAATTATATATTTACTGCTATACAAACACTTAAATGAAAGGAATCAAAGGCTTCAAAGCATACCCTTCCCCAAGTTAAGCAGCCAAGTACAGAAATAAGCTTGATAGCTACCCTGTTCTGAGGCAGAAACAATTCTGTGAACAACCTCTGGCACAATAGCTTAAGAAATACGTCTAAAATTATGCCAAAGATGAAAATAAGAAAAGGGGGAGACATTTTATAAAGGAGGAACAATATTTTGAAATGCACACAAGCAGGCATCAATTCAATTCCAATTTTGCACAAAATTATAGAGACGTATTAGAATTTACTGAATGAATATAGTTGAGGCTTCTTTAAAACTGAAAAACAAGCTCCTTTTTTTTGGTTCCCTTTGCTTCTGATGACAAACAACACACCGATTTTCATGCTGACATCCCCCTCACAGGACCTTAATACCATATTATGAGAGATCCCAAGTCGACCTATGTCACTTTTAGTTTTGATTTCAGTCAAAATTTGTATTTCATGCAAGCCAACCCAAGCTACCAAATTTTTATTTTTATTATTTTTGTTGAGAATTTGCAGTTTGGATGACTTTCAGGCATTTTTTCATCTGACAAAAATAAAATAAAATTTGAGGATCTGGGAACTTTCAAGGTGTTCTGGAAGCTTGAGGAGTTTCAAAAAAGGGTTTAAGTGCCTTCCTTATCCATGGACTATAGCAAAGTGGTGACATGGTTATAGCATTTTGTTGCTTTCTCATAATGCTTCATTCACTGCTCACATTTTATAGATGTCTATTCATAAGCAAACCCATCTTGTTCAATGGAAGTTATTCTGAAGTATTATAGCCTTCATCACACTTCACTTTTGTTTGCTCTTGCTCACAAATTATTGTTTACTCGAGTAGACAATATATTTAAAGCCTAGTTTAGGGATGGTTTAAATTTATTTCTATTTTCTTTTAAAACAGTGGTTCTCAACCTTTTTTTGACCAGGCACCACTTTGACCAGGGGCCACTCTGAAACATTAGTACCAAAAGGGTTACAAATCAGTTTTTGGTCAATTTTACATTTGGTTTGGTTATTTGGGGTGCTAATTCAGAAAACTGGATTGTACAGACCACATCAGCTCTAGTTGCTGATACAGAACATATGCCATCCAGTAGTTGCCATCTGCTCACCCACAGAAAACCATATTTCATAGAATCATAGAATCAAAGAGTTGGAAGAGACCTCATGGGCCATCCAGTCCAACCCCCTGCCAAGAAGCAGGAATATTGCATTCAAATCACCCCTGACAGATGGCCATCCAGCCTCTGTTTAAAAGCTTCCAAAGAAGGAGCCTCCATATTTAATAAGCCTCGACACTATAAGACGGTTTTGTGAGACCAGTTGCTTTCATTGCAACGGTGCAGTAACAGTAACCATTTTTTAGTTCTTGTGGACCTCTGCTGGTCCACAGACCACAGGTTGGGAACCACTGTTTTAAAACATCGGTTAAAATGATGTAGTTAACAATTACATTTCTCAAACATCAGATAAGTCAAGGATGTGATTCATCTGATTTAAGCTGTAACTGTTCCAGTTCTACGTTATTGAAGAAGTAAACTACAACATATCCTATCAATGTTGTTACTGTGGCATAGCTCTATTGACTGAAGTAAAATGACACAGTCTTATGAAAAATCATATAGTGTGGTGATGAGCTGAGGGGCTCTCTCTGTCATTGCCACAAGAAAGGGGCGAAAGGAGGGCCTCCCCAGAGGATCGACGAGATCATGCAGATTTATGGTAGGAGATGCGGTCACGAAGGTAGGCGGGTCCCAAACCATTCAGGGCTTTATAGGTGATAATCTGCACCTTAAATTGGGACCGAAAAATGAATGGCAGCCAATGGAGCTCCTTAAACAGTGGCAGTAGACCGCTCCCTGTAATTCACCCCAGTTAGTAGTCTGGCTGCAGAACTTTGGACTTATGCACACCTCTATAAATAGTAGTCATCTGGTTGTCTTCATCTGTTGTGTTGCCTTAAAATATTTTTGAAAATTCCTCAAATCCAAAAAGATAATGGTGTGTAACATAAGCTCTTGGTAGAAAAAAATCCACTCTTCTGTGAAGTGGTCATGTTATGGTTAATACCCTTAGCAGTGATTCAAATCATATGTGCATGTTAATTATTTTATTTTATTTATTCAATTTATAACCTACAGTTTGGCCACAAGGCCCCCAAGGTGGCTCTTAACAGAACACACTAATGGCAACCCAGAGATAAGTGCAATTTTAAAATTATTTTTTTAAATCCAACTCTAAAGTCAAACAATACAGTCAACAATACAAGAGGTGGAACACTTCTCAGAAGTGATTCAAATTAGAAAGTCCTTCTGAATGGTTTTGTTCAATAATTCTCTAGGAAGAATCTTCTATATCCTAACAACCTAGGATGGAACATCTAAAATGTCACTTGTCTCAAATTAATTTTTTCAGAGGTCCTTCAGATAACGTTTTCCATGTAGGTGTCCAAATTATGATACGGAGAAATTCTGAAGACATTCAGATACTAGATTAAATCTCTGCTGTTTTGTTGAGATTTAACTGACAGTTGAAATGATTTAATTATGCTTCAGTTGTTGTTTTTAATAGTTTAGTATTATATTAAATTACATCAAAACAAAATAATGCAATTCTAAATAAAACAGTAGTCAACAGGTTATTTTATTTCATGCTAAAAGCATTGCATAAATAAACAAATATAAAACTGATAAAATAGAAGGAACACACACGGCTAATTTTTTTTAGACCAAAAATGGGCAAAAACAGGTAAAAAGAAAGCACAACCCCCCCCCCCCCAATTTCTCCCTAAATATTATATTTCTATTCAATTCTTTGAAGATCTAAAGAAGTGGCTTAAACACAAGAAAGGCATTGATGACAGAGCAAGTATATTTATCACTAAAATGCCTTTTTAAGCCTCCAAGCACAAATGCAGTTCTATGCTCTTTGAGCTGCAATAAGAATAATGGCATAAATGCAGCTGTGCAGCTTGTAAATATAACCTCAGGACTTATATAGGTTTAAATCTCATTGATAGCAGAATGTGAACATATGCTGAACTGAGATTTTGCAGCTTCATATCTCAAGAAAAAAATACTGACAGCAACATGTAGGATATAACTAAGGTGCTCATTATTTCACTTTTTTTACTTCAAATCACCTTGCAGCTATTTTACAGCAAAAAGAGAGAGCTAAAATAACATTAGTGAGCATTGGTGAAACCATTGAGATCACTTCTACACTGCCAAATAATCCAATTTCTGATTGTAACTGGATCGCATGGCAGTGTGGACTCACATAATCCATCAGATAATCTGGTATCAGATACTGGATTACATGGAATTGTATATCCAGCCTGAAAAGATCCTGCCCATTTTTGAATGCTAATGTAAGACACAGAACTTCTAGTTTGGTATCCTGGGACCAGTGAATCAGCTAGTAAATTGAGAATCAATTTAGTGGCAAATCCAATTGATTCAATGAGTTTGCCTAAATAACAGAATTCAGGATTTAATATATCTCACACGTCCTACAGTGAATAAAACGAAAATACTTAAAACAATAATCCCCCCTCAGAACATCCCACCAAGAAATTATTTCACATCAGTGAGTGTATATGCCATTATAAGAAGTGGAAATAATATATGGGAGATGTGGTAGAGCTTACATCTGAATATCAGAATATAAATTTTCTCCCAGAGTCCAGAGAAGTCAACATCAAATCACAAAACCAAAACAAGATTTAATAGTAGCAAAACATTCTTGATCATCTAGTTAATTTATAAGAATAAAGCATAGAGCTTAAATACACACAAACTCTAATGGGCTCATGTCCCCAGAATTAAAGATTGCTCATAAAATGGTTATACGCCTAGCAGTACACTATATTGAATGATACTTGCTTTTGAATAGATATATATGAGACTGCACTGTAAAAGGACTACCAACAGTTCAGTCCAGAGGTCTTTGTATATTTCAGTGTCTTTATCAATTGCTTGCATACACATGTACAATAAAGGAATTGGAACTATATATTTAAATGAATATACTTATGAATTGACTACTGTAATGATATGTGAGCCATTATAGACAAACACTGTTTATTTTGTAGTTCTCACATTTCAGAGTGTAGACCCAAGGAATAAACCAGTCATATGTATTGTCATATTTCTTCTCTGGTTTTCATTGGGACCTTGGAAATACCTGGGATGAATTTTATTTCAATACATCATATTCATTAAAATTACAATAGTGAAAGTACAATCTATTATTTTTATTGTTACGTAGGAACACTGCTAGTTTTTCCTTGAAACAAAAACCATCACTGGTATGAAAGATGTTGAATTATTAACTATAAAAAATTGTTGGCAGAAGAATCAGTGTAGGGTAGTAGTATTAACCTTTACCTATTTCATTACCATGTATAGGAAAACAAACATACACGTTAAAAAATCACAATAATAAATGAGATTACATGAGTTTGCATACCTCCAGTAGTTTTTCACATTTTCTGACTTTGTCATTTTGGTTTTCTTAGTGCAGAAAGCACTATGCAGACAACCAACATTACATAAAGATAGAGTGTAAGCCATGAAGGAGAAGAGTACATCCAGTGGCAATATTTTAAGCAGATGTTTGTCAACTATTTTTAATGTGACAAATAGATCATAAAAGGTTTGGAGGACTACATCCTACTTTTCCTCTAGACACAATGGCTCAAAATCAAAATATACACTAAAACTGAACTTAATATTCACCCAACAAAAGAAGTATTTGTCCAAAGAAACCTTCAGTCCTCAAGCTAACATTGTTAAGCTGAACTCTCAAAGATTTCAGCATCCCATTAGCTCTATGCAAATTGGCCAGCTGGCAGAAAAAAATAGAAATAGATGGAAGATTGTATCTTGACTCTTTTTCTAATTTTATGGTGGTTTTGGATAGATGAACTGTATAGAAGGCTTTAACTCAGTGAGTGAAGAGAAGTACAAAGACAAAATATACGATATTTCTGAGAGTGAACTTTGCTTGAATAGCATGTTGTAATTCAAAAAGAACAGAGCATCCATTTTTATTTTACACAAAGCTAAAAATGTGTGCTGTAACAAAACTCAAATCACAGTTGAAAAGTATAGTACACAGCAACCAAAACCTGTAATACTGTTGCCATAACTTATTCATTCAATGCTCCAAGCAAAAGCTGGTTTTACTTACACATCTTCCACACGGACTCGTTGATAGTCTGACAGAATGGCTCCTACTGAAACAGCATCCACATTTTCTTTATCCTGAGGAGAATAGAGATAATTTAAATAGGGATAATAACCAAAGAAAAGTAGTGAAGTGCCCCTTAACAAAAGCTATTTTTTCTTTCATCTGGGCCGTTGAAGGCTCTATTAAAGGGTGTGAGAGAAACAAGAAAATACATTACAGTGGAACCTTGACTTAAGAGCGTGCCAACTTAAAAGAATTTTGAGTGAAGAACCATCAATTGGCCTGGGTTTTGCTTTGACATGCAAGCAGCATTTTTAGTTACGAGCTGACACTGGAAGGGGCACTGGCACCATAGGGAGCGCCAGCATGAGTGTACAAGGCTTTAGGGCTTCAAAGGAGCAACCTCAGTGTCTAGTGCATCTGTGTCTCATGCTCATGTTCGCTTTGGAAAATTCATGTTTGCTATGCTTTTATCTTTTTTGAGGCTTTTTTGGAGCCTATTACAGGGAACAAGGAAATCTAGGTTTTAGGTCAATGTCAATCATCCAAATCCAAGGCACTAGAGAACCCAAAAAGCAGTACATGTGGCCCTTAACACTGCAGTGAGTTAACATAGAAAACATTTAGATCCAGCTTGCTAAACTGCTCCTCGTAGAGCATGGTTTCTAGACCTTTTACCATTTAGATCTCTTTTCCATGGACAAATTCAAGCTTATCAATATGGAACAAAGTATTCCAAGTGAGGTCTGACCAAAGCAGAAGAGAATGACATTATTACTTCCCTTGTACTACACTCCTATTGATGCAGCTCAGTCACACTGGCTTTGCTAGCTGCTGCATCACACTGTTGACACGTTAGGCTTTTGGTCTACTAAGACTCCTTAGATCCTTCTCCTATCAGGCCAGGTGTCACCTATTCTATATCGGTGCATTTAATTTTTTCCGCCTGCATTTTTTCCCTGCTGAAATGTATGTTATTAGTTTTGACCAACTCTTTTTTTGGATTCTGAATCTGAAGTATTAGCTATCCGTCCCAATTTGATAAGCAAATCTTCTATTCCATGTAAATTTGATAAGCAGCCATTCCATTCCATCATCTAAGTCACTGATAAAGATGAAGAATAGCACTGGGCCCAGGAGAGAATTCTGTGGCACCCCTCTAGTCACTTCTCTCCCAGATGAAGAGGAGCTATTGGTGACCATCCTTTGGGTTTGCTTCATTTTACTCCACAAATCCTTTTTTTCAGAGATAACGTCATCTTTAAAAATGTTAAAGTCCTAACCCACTTGCTCTTATCTTTTAATACATCTGTATTATTTTACAGTTTAAAGAAGCAATTTCTATCAACACTCATCTTTGTCAGTTTAAATGAAGGTGCAATGTTAAAGAAACTGCACATCTTTTGAATATTTTCTCTTTTTCTGTCCTTCTTGCCACCTTCCCTTTTACTTAGATGGTAATTCCTCAGACAGGGATGTGTCTTTTTCATTCCTGCAAACTGATATCTTAATAATAATGACATCACAGCCCGTTTCTCTTTAATTCCATGTAAATCACTGAACAATTCAGTGTTTCCTATACTGTTTGTACCACTGTATTTTTATTACATTTTGATTACTCTAACAAGCTAGAAGTGCCATTTATAATTATCCTATGAAAGTGTTAGCTAGTAGGGTAGGTCACCTACCAAAATCTGAAGATGGGCATTCATTTGAAACTGGACCATGGTCTAGTCCATGAATAAGTAACATACCACCTTCCATGTTCTGGACTACAACTCCTATCAGCTAAAACAAGCACAGCAAATGGCTAATTACAGAAGTTGTAGAACAAAACATAAGCAGTAGGTTGCTCACCCATGTTCCAACTATAACAATGCATCACTTTAGATACCACATGGGGGAATTCTGTGGCAGAGAGTCACAGAAGTAAGGAAAATGTCTCTCTAGAATAGAATAGACAGGATAGAGCAGAATGTACTAATGAAAGAGTTTAAAGATCTCTCTCTCTCTCTCTCTCTCTCTCTCTCTGGAACATATACACACATAGATTCTAATGGAGAGAAAAATAATGATGATGCTAACAAAACAAATGTTATTTCTTCAAAACTTGGCCAAATATTCCTTACTCTCACCCCCACTGCAAGAATTATAAGGCTTGTCTTCTGGACACGATTAAATTTCCCAATTTGTTAGGTCTCTGAATACAGAAGGTGGACTTAATATTCATAAAAGACCACTGTTCATCAAGGGATGGATGTCCACAGCAGACCTCCCCACACTTAACAATATACTATAGTTTCATGGATGATCTCACAAAGTCTTGCACCCTAAATCAATATTGAGCAGTATTGAAACACTAATCTGAATCTCTTGACTATAAGCATTTACCCTGCTTCACATATGCTACTAAAATCTCAATTTGCTGCCAGGTTGGGAAGAATTTTAAAATAGAAACTATAAAGATTCCTGAAAAACTAAAAGGTCAGCGAAAAGAGCAACACAAAATGCAACCTAGCTCTCCAGTTTGCGTGTGGACTGAAAACAGTACTACTAGATGTGATTTTTTTTAATCCTCTTGTTACACAATTCTTTGAGTTCAGCGGGAAGAAAATTAGTGATAATGCTTTCCATTTAATTAGTATATTACATGCACTGTAATTATTAGTGGGAAATGTTATATTAATGGAAGCTAAAGTTAGCAGTAAATTACCTTGTAGTTATTGTCAATTTCCCAAGCTACTGCTCCTTAAGATAACCCTTCTCCCTATAGTCCTTCCGGTAATTTTTTCTTGCCTGATAAACATGATGATTAAACGGCACACAGTGCAAACCTTTGATACTTTTAAAATTAAATCCATGCCCAGCCTAAGGGCTGTGTCTGATTTCAACTAAATGTGTCAGTTAATCAGATAAAAAATTATCAGTAACTCAAAGAAACAGCAGCCTAAGGCTTCATCAGGGCTAGGGAAAGCTGAACAAAATAAGACATTCAGACAATATCACATTATGAGTAAAGGTTACTGATAAGCATAAATCCAAACAGAGCTGTTCATCACCTTAATAATATCTATCTTTGGAGAACCATTATATACAACAGTCAAATTATCACTTTTTGAAAAGCAATTAGAAAAATGGGCTACTGTGCCAATACACCATTAAATTGAACACACTCTGGGAAAAACTAAGGATTAGACTTGCACAAATCAAAGCTCCATTTGTAAAGCTCTCGTGGAAAGATATACATATTTACATATATAAAACCCTGTACACTCAAAACAAGCTCTGCTATGCCTTCAAATTAAAGTAAGTTATTGATGTTCAAAATGTCATCAGCAGTAAAAGTGAGTGCTATTCATTCAGGCTATCCTTCTATTACATCTTTCTCATCAAGCAACATTATTACACTATTTTAATTATATACAATCCAATTCCCAATGCCTCTTCTTTGATGTCCAGCCCTTCCAGCTCCTGTTCCATTCACACACTCATCTATTTTGGAATTGAAAAAAATAATTTATTAGCATTTAATTTATATTCAATCGATCCCAAAAATATTTTTTCAAAGGTATGAAATAAAGTTATAGAATTCACCATATTTTCATCAAACACTGATATAATCTCTGAGGGAACACTTGTCTTCTGGCCGAGAGCAACCAGTGCCAACTGCCTCATCAGCATGGCCATGCTAATACAGTAACTCTGAACTGATCCAATTTTTGACCCTAGGAACAGCAATCCTTACCTATATTACATCAGAAAACTTTGAAGTTATAACTAGCTATATTGTTGTAACTGAGAAACTGTATGCAAACTAAGGAGTATCCTTACTATTTCCATAGCAGGAAAAAGTGTGTGGCTCCCAGGTTCAGTTTCCAGCATCTACAACTAAGAGTTTATTGGATACTAGAATCTCTGCTGATAGCCTGAAGAGTCTTGCTCAGTACAAAGAGACTTCCTATATTCATTAAGAAAGGTTGAAAGAAGCTCTGTGATATAGATATGCACAGTTAAGTTGACAAATGTTTTGCTGGGGATGGGGGAAGACAAACATGACAAGTCTTTAGGAAACACCCAGGCTTTTTATAAGACTATGGACTGAAAGATTTCAAAAATGGAATGAAACAGAAGCATATGAATTTCAACTTTTCTTTAAATAATATAAATGTCGTCTTTTGGTATTCATTTTTATGAGACTGAATTAAATATGTTTCTCCAATCTGCTTAAGCACAGGTCTCTCAACTTTAAGTAAAGTAACTGTACTTGAAGTAACTGGCTTGACTCTGAAGGAGCTGGAGGTTATAATATACTTTGTTTTTTCCACAATACAAACCTAAAAAAGGCAAGAGGACTTCAAATACCTCAATTGTGCTATAACAAAACTTCTCTAGAGATGAAAAATTAGGTAGTTCAAACTATTTAAATGAAATAAACCCTAACATACTTGGAAAAGAACATACTTGATATGCAAGATTCTGAAAAGGATGTTTTGCATTCACGACATAACGGTGCCATGACTCAGGTAAGCACAACTTTGCAGATGAAAATCAAATATGCACAAAGTGCAATGATGTTGTATATGCAGATAAGAAATGATGTCATGTCATATAGGGGAAATTGATGGAGGCATAATATAGGATATATCAAGTACGGAGTCTAACAACTTTTTACGTGCAAAAAATGCTGAAATTTTCCAGGATCAGTTAGACTTACTTGATACAACAGCATTACTACCTGATTACCAGTCTTGTTCAGGATAGATAGCAATTCAAAGTAGGCCCTAGATGCATATATAACTCTAGAACAGTCTTGTCTGAAAGACTCTATCACAGAACCAGGAAGAGTACAGAAAAAAAAGACATAGACCCAATTCTGTTTCTCCCGTTTACAGTGGAAACATTGGATCAGTTGCTGAATGGTAAATCAATACTTATTGATTGATTCAACAGCTTTAATGTTTTTAGTACCTGCAATTGGATTTAGCACCTAAAATTCACTTTCACCAAAAAGAAAAAGAAAAATATTTTTAGTTCATAAAGAAAAATAGATGTTTAAAAGAAAGAAACAAGATCT